CCACCCCAGCCCACCCCACCCCTGCCCCAAGCATTCCCAGGGACCTGGTTATTTGTTTTGTTTTGAGACAGGGTTTCTCTGCGTAACAGCTCTGGCTGTCCTGAAACTTGTTTTGTAGACCAGGCTGGTCTCGAACTCCCATAGATCCCCCTGCCTCTGGCTCCCAAGTGATGGTGTGTACCGCCACCCCCACTCACCCACCCCACCCGCCTTGGGCATAGCTGGCCTCAGACATTTTCAGATACTCCGTGGTGCACGTAGAGTCATTGGGACACCAAGGCAGGAGAGAGATGTTTTAATACGACTTGCTCAGACTGGAGGCTTAGATCCGCCCCTGTGCTGCAGACCCAACACAGAAAAAGGTTTCTATAAAGTGAACGCTTTTAGTAATAAGTAGTAGAAATGGGGAGGCCCTGAGACTAGCCTGGAGAGTGAGGTAAGGCAGTGGTGGGCTCCTCTGCTGGCCAGGCCAGGAAAGACAGCTCTGTTTTCACAAAGGCCTTGCTGCCGCCTTTGTACAGGGGGGATGGAGGGGGTCGGCGTCCTTGACAGTCAAGCCCATATTGGGGCAGTTACAACAGTGCAAGAGAGGCTTCCCACAAGGACAAATGGCTAAAAAAAAACATCACCGTGAAATGCCACCCCCAAGAGTTCTTCCCACTAGATCCGGTGGGGGCACTGTAGCCTTCACGGTGACATAGGCCCCTGAACAAGCGTCAAAGCCCTCTGCAAAGTGCCAATTGTTCTTTGTCAACGCCTGGCTAGGTTGCTTTCTTCCTTTTCGAACGCTTGGCGCAGCCCCTGCCAAACCAGCCTCCTAGGATGGGGGGAGCTGGGCTAGGTGGTGCACTCTGGTCCCCAGGCGGGGCTTCTTCTCTACTTCTGCACAGCGACTTCCTACTGTGGCTACCTTCTTCACCAGCGCGGAGAGGAGTGGCCAAGGAGAAGATGGGGTCTTGCCACCTAACAGAAAGAGGAGCAGCATCAGGGAGGTCTGAGAGCCTCCCCACCACAACCCTCCCGGGCGCAGGAAAAGCTGTCTGAGGCCAACTGTCATCCTACCCCTTCCCTCTGCGTCCTAAGGGTGGCTGGGCTCTGACTATTAGCAGCTTCAATGTCACCCAGCTATAAAAGAGCTGCGGGGGACAGTCTCCCTGGGTGGCCACTCAAAGGCCGGCCGGCTGGCCGGCCACAGCTCTTGCTGAACTCTGCAGTGTCTCATCCATCATTAGTGGGCTCAGCACACACGGGAAGGGTTGTGCTCGCTGCAGGACGGCTCCATCTCCAAGGATAAGTTGCTAGCAACTCTGGGCCCCACCTTTCACTTGTATGGATGAGGGCAGATGGACCAGACCCTTTACCCTTTCCAGACTGCATGATGGGGATGGGAAGGGAAGGCCAGTTGACTAGGGGGGCATTGGCCTACAGACTAGACCATGAAGAGATCATGTATCTGATTGAGATGCAGAACCACATATCATAAACATAAGATGCAGATAAGCACTGATTTGAAAAATGAGCTAAGTTAATGTTAAAAAAAAAAACAACAACAATAACAACAAAAAACAATACAGCACAGGAGAGGCCCACGTCACAGAACACCACAAACATAACATACAAGAATTGCCAGGCCCAGAGGTGAAGGGATCCTTAATTTCTTGAACCCTTTGATTAAAAGAAGTTATTGATTTCCCCTATAAGACCCTGAAAATTCACAGAGAAAGAAAGTGTAAACTTTTCACTCAATATACACACCGCGTCTAAATTATCACAAATTCTCTATCAAGGCAATTTGATTAAGCTTTCCCCAGATATCCCAGAACCAAGGGCAGATTCTGTCTGACCAGAGTTGCAGTCCTCACCCCTTACAGTTGTCCACCCAGGCTGCAAGAGCTCTGTGGAGAAACATCCTATAGAGAACACGCTAGCAGACCCCCCTCTCCTCACAGAAATGCCAGGCACCATACCGGTCAGGGAGGAAGAGTGCACCTGTGTGGAGCCTCACCCGAGCTGGTCCCTCTGGAGGCTCACAGAAGACAGACACAGCCCATCACACAGAAGGGCAGAAATGGCCCATGCGCTGCACCCACTCACCGGCTGTAGACTGGGATCTCCAGGCCCAACTCATCCATGAGGAGCTGCATGACATCATCACATTTCCCATGAAGCTTCAGTGCGGCCCAGTCATCCTTTGGTGTCCACTGAAGACAAGAAAGGCGATGAGAGGAACCTCCAGCCCTTTGCTTGTCCCCTGCACGCTGGGTCAGCCATCTCCAGGAGCATGGACTTGTGCAAGACTCCCGGGATGCACAAATGTGGCACACCCCCAGGAATAAGGAAGAAGCTGTAAGCACCCATGTTACCTGCAAGTTCACAATGTAGAGTTTGGGCCGCCGGCTTGGAGGCTTCGTCATGCACCAGAGGCGGGGGTACTTCTTCAGTACCTGTAGGGATGGACAGACGTAACACAGGAGGGGGATGAAAACAGCAAATCTAATGCCCACTAATAGTTCTGGGCAGGCAGCCCCGTATCATACTCAACCCACAATGCGTTCATGGCATTGTCAGCACGCACCTTCAAGCTGGACCCTAGACACAGGATCGTGTCTGCTTTGCTAGCAGCTTCGGTCGCTGCCTCCCAGTTCAGAGGCTGCCCTAATGTCCCCCTCTCCCCAAAGTGCACAATGGTATCCCGGAGCTGGGTCCCACACTTATGGCAGGTCCGGCCGGTCTGGTGCCGGTGAAGGGCCGTACGCTCGGTCACATCAAACACTCGCACATACTCCCTGTTAGGGACGCAGGAGGTGCAGACCTGAGGATAAGAGCACACAATGAGTGAGACATGCCTGTCACCCAGGCCCTGCATCCCTCTGGCACTGCTCACTTCAATGTACATATTCCCGTGGAGCTCTGAGATGGCGGTTCGTGGGAGCCCACTGCGCAGGTGGAGCCCGTCGCAGTTCTGAGACACGACATGCTGTACCTGGAAAAAGAGACACGTGGCAATCAGTAAGGGACGGAGGAAGCACCCTGTATCTGTGAAATTATCCTGAGCCCAGGAGGGCCCTGTGGTAGGAAGGAGTCATGTCCTCCCCTGCTGGCTCTGAAACACTGGAAGCATCCAGGAGAACAAGCATCTGTACTGCAAGTTAGGTAGCAGCTTGGGGCACTGGATCAACACCCTCTTGGGTCCTTCTCTTTCAGGTCCCCCAGGAGCCCAGACAGATCCCTTTCCTTTGCTCAGCAGACTTCCCCTGTGGCTAGGATGCTGCCTAAAGCCAGCCCTTCCACCTGCAGACTCACAGTTGGACAGGGGCTACTCCTCCTCCTTGGAAAGGGAGCACAGCAGGGACCAAACAGGAAGCTGAGCTCCTCGGTCTGTTTATCACAGGGTGACTGAGTGAAGCAGCTCCCCGCCTGGCCGCGGAGGGGCAGCTCTGGCTCTTACCAGCTTTTGCTCATGCAAACGGGTGATGCTCATGTGTGTGAGGGTGGGCTCCGCTTCACTTAGGTCAGCAGCACTGCAGGACAGGAGAGAGAACAGGTAGAAAGGCTGCGTCAGGCAGGGGCAGCTGCTGCCTGACCGTATGAGATGCTGTGAGATGCTCACCTCACACTTCTTCCTTTCTGAAGCAATGTCCATACTCCATTAGGGCCTCGATAATCGGGGATGGAAGCTGCCTGTACAAGTGGAGAAAAAGATAAGTCCGGTGAAAGGGAGTCACCACAGGCACTGCAGAACACCCCACACGGGGTATGCCACGTTCCAGGTTTGCCAGCAAACTAGCGTCCGTTCCATGCACTGCTGACCTGTCTGGTCCCTCCCTACGGCTCTTTCCCTCTATGTGTATGACTTTCTTGTCCTGTCGGGGGCCAGCTCACCCTTCCAGACACCTCAGAACCCTGCCCTACTTCAGCAGTGAGCAGCTGTGTCCACATCTGTCTCAAACAATGAAGGGCTCATCGGTGTCCAAAGGAACAGGTCTTAGTGTTCAAGTCACATTCAGCAAACAGAAAGTCCCAGAAGTAAGCACACCTCTGTCCAAGGACTTAGATTCTGGAGCTCTGAACAGTTTTAACTCTAACTTAGCATACATACAAAAACTCTTAAGGTGAGATAAACATTAGCTCACTTTCCACAAGAAACAGTAAGTATCAAGGATGTTAAGTCTTTGGATCCTGGCTGGGGAAGCACCTTATCCTCACTGGAATATAGGGATGAAAGCTTCAAACGGTGATCAGACCACATTTATAAGCTGCATACGGTATTTAGCTGTCACTAGATTTGTAGAGGTGATATCACTGTGCCAAGTCACAGCTAGGTGGATCATCACATGGCTCTGAAGGTCCCAAATGCTTATGTCCCAGATGTCTATGGGTGAGGGCAGCAAAGGTTCCTTTCATTGCTACTGGGACATTGCTGTCTTTCTGTCTGTCTGTCTGTCTGTCTGTCTGTCATGCTTCCCATCCTCACATTTCCCTGCAGAGCCCTACTCAATGCCACTTCAACAGCATGGCTGCCCCAGGGTCTTCACAGCTTTGAGGACTGCATGTCTAACAGTGTTGTCAGTTTTGCAGCATACTTGACTGCCTATGACTGGTAGCTGTTACCTGTGTTAACAAAGGTCTTCTTTCCTGTATGTTTGTATATGTACTCACAACTGTGCACACATGTGTAGATATGCACATGTACGTGCCCCTGTGTATATGAATCTCAATCCCCACCTTATTATTTTTTTAAGAACACATTTGTTGAAGGGGGAATGCAAGTGCGGAGATGCTCAAGAGAAAGTCAGACAACAGCAGCTTGTAGCAGTCAGTTCTCTGCTTCCATCTTGTGGATTCTGAGGACCAAACTCAAGCCATCAGGCTCGGCAGCAAGTGCCATCTCACTACTCTTCCCCCTTTGTTTTCTGGCCACAAGGTCTCTCACTGAACCTGGAGCTCATGGACTTGGCTAGGCTGGCTAGGCGGTGTGACCAGCAGGCTCCAGGGGTCTTCATAGCTTATCTTACCAGTGCTGGGATGACAGCCATGTGCCACTGCTGAGCATAATCATATGGACGCTGAGAGCTCAAACTCGTCCTCATGCTTGCACGGCCAGTACCTGACCAACCGAGGGATCCCACCAGACCACCTTAGGGATTCTTGAGAACAGAAATCATCTGGAGTTCACCTTGGCTGAACCTATGTATGCCAAATACTCCACGCTCACCCTTGATCATATGTCAGTTACAAAGCTAATCATCCCTTAGCCCAGGAAAGTTCTCAGAGTCAAGACAACAGCATTTCTCGTCTGTATCTGTTGAACTGTGACTCTTACTGCCTTGTTTCTTTTCTTTTTCTTTTTTTCTTCTGTTTGTTTTGAGGCAGGGTTTTTGCTTCAAGCTTTGAGCTAGGCAGGCCTCGAACTTTTGATCTTGAATTCCCTCCTCTATCAGGCTCCACCTCCTGAGTCCTGAGATTAGAGGTTTGGGATTTGACACTGGTTTTCTATTTATCTTTCTTCAAGGAGTAGGAGACCAGGAGAAAGTCCAGGGCTCCAGTCCGTCCACAACACGTGGGTCAATCAATCAATCTGTCCCCTTTAGTGGAGAAGAGATTGATCATCAGGCAGTTTGGCCACTAGGCCATACTTCTTCCTGTTCATGCTTGTCTTTAACTGGCTGTCACAAGTCAAGCGTTCTCAAAGTCTCTGGCTTAGTCAAATTACCATTATTATTAGTAACAAGGACTCTACGTAGACCTGGCTGGCCTTGAACTTACAGAGATCGGCCTGCCTCCGGACTGCTAGGCGTGCGCCACTACGCTCAGCCGACCTTAATTAGATCTTAAATCTAGTGTTGTCTTCGGGTCTCTGAGAAAAGAGGACACCTTGGAGCGGCTGAATTCAAAGGCGACTGAACTTGGTCAGTTGCTCAACTCCAGCACCGCGCAGTCCAAGTTTGTGTCCCAGAAGGGGGCGCCCCTCGCCTACCGTGCTGATTCCGGCGCCCGTGTAGACCACCAAGTGTTTGGCATTCCGGACAGCTCCGGCCAGTTCGCGGACCTTCCTCCGCAG